GCCTTCTTTCGAATCCAGAGGAAGGAATGGATGAAAGCCCGATGCTGGGAAGATTGAGAGTTTAGGTTCCGGACCTCCGGAATGAATGAACGGATTTCTAGGTAGCTAGTTAGCTGCTTGCCTGCCTTTCGACGCGGATTCCTCTTCCCTCTCATTCTTTTGAAGACGCTTTGTGCCATGATTAAGATCCTTTCATTGCACCATCTTACAATCTTGATATCCACCCACCCTGGACGTCCTTTTCTTTGAAGAAAGCCTCTTACAACTACTACAGCTTCTGACTAAAGAACGATAAGTAGAGTTTCACTAGCATATCAGCTTTGTCATCCCTTTCTCGATGAAATTCTGCACGATTTGGTTAGTGCCTGAACTGACTTTGCAGTCTTTGCTCAGCTCGAGCATTCCTATCTTGCCTCGAGCGCTAGGGAATTATCCAAAGGATGGGTGGAATGAGGCTTAAAACCAGGCATCAAAGCCTTTTCGGCAATCAATGTATAGACCAGTAATTGCGTAGTCTAATAAGTCAACAGGCACAACATCACTGTCAAGGGCATTCTTCTGGGGGAAAAAGCAAAGAGTTGGACTGGACCTTCGGAGGTGAATTTCTTTCTTAGATGCTGTGTGCAGCTGCCTTCCTTACCGCCTTTAGTTTGTTTGAATGGGGGCTGTTCTAACTATTGATTGAGGAGAAAATAGAAATCCAATTCATCGAAAACGAGGGAACTTTCGTTAGTCAATTTCCCAAGGGCTTATGTGATACCTGTTGGATTAACGGCCTAGACCGAAGAAAATAACAAGTAAAGCAGGTCAGGTGTGAAACTTTTACGTCTAAGTATAAGTAAGTGAAGTTGTGCTAACCGGTCCTATTCTAGATCCAACCTTGGGAACGAGCTAAAGTGGATTGATCCGGTCGACGTGGCTAAGCTGAAAAGGGAGTCGGGAGTCCTTTATATTCATTCTATACTGTATTGATGGCTCATTTTGGCTCACTTCCTCGATATGGGATCTAAAATGTTAAGTACTCAGATTTATTAGAGAGGTAGGGGATTAGCTGTACAAGCAATTCGACCTCTTTCTTATACTTATAGGGGTATGGGCTTTAAAGCAACTTCTATAGAGCTATAGGGCAGCCCAGAAGCAAGATTCTAGGCAGGCTAAAGTGGGGATTGGATTTTGGTCTAGCCATTAGAGAAAGAGACTCAGTTGAGCCAAGCAAGGCTTTGCTAAGAAACCAGTCTCATGTTTTGGTTGGTCTCAGGTAGCCCAATTATCCTTTCGAACTACGGGATTCGGGTTGGATATGGTGATAAGCCAAGCCTTAAACTCCCTCCGCTTTCATTGTTTGAATTCGAAGGGCAGAAAGATTTCCTTGAGTACTCTTTATTGAGGAGTTGGGTTGAAGTCTGACCTCCAATACCTTAAGTGGTATTGTCAGATATCCTGTACCTAGTGCCTCATTCATTAGAGGATGACTTTGATAGTCCAATCGTAGAGCCCCATTGGAGGATAAGACGGACTGATGAACAATTAGTTCGTTTTGGCCTTTTGTGGCGGTTGTATGATATTGTTCAAAGGCTGGATTACACAGTTCCTGTGTTAACTGAGCCCGTTTCCTCTAGTGAATAATGAATAAAGCACCCGCTTCCTTGCTCAAGTCCTTGCTACTGGGTTGATTATACAACTCAGTTGTGCCTACCATTTCTGGTAGGGAGCCATTGATCTATAAGATTTACAGAACCATATTGAAGATCTGACATTAGCTATTCGAGTAAAATCATAGGATTGAAAGCCGATTGCTACTTTCTTGCCTTGGGGCATCGCATTCTGGATAACGTAATAAAAAGTCTTGTCTTTCTATACTGTCTTCAGTCTGGTTTGCTTTAGAAGTAGAAGTAAGCAAGCAAAGACAAGTGGTAGCTAAGCGAGAGTGGTTGCGGTGATGAATAATATGGTTTTTAAACCAAACAAAGAGAGTGAATACCTCACTGCGGTATGTGAAATACAGGTTCAGCCAACCAGTAGAAAGAAAGTGTAAGCAAGGCACTTAAAGTCTTGTACCAGTCAACGATAACTAACTCCCTTTCAGAACCTATTCGTCGATTCCTAACCTTAATAGCTTATTCAAAAGGGGAATTGATGCCTGACAATGACTTTAGATCAAGACTTTTGGCAAAACGCTCACGTTCGAAGTCATCGTTCGGGTTCGGTTTTCCCTCGGCGCATCCTTCGTTCGTTCCCTCGAGCATTTTACCTTCTCCTATCGCCTGGGCATTCATCCAGACCTTTCACATCAAGCTAATTCCCTGGACTGGTAGAAAAGGAATCTTCATACTAATCCGAGTGGTCTTCTAACTATCAGGTTTCGCTGTCGAGCCCATGCCCTGGCATCAAAGTTAGCCCCTTTTACTCGCTTAGATGCTCCGCTCTATCCTTCAATCGATTGAGCCTGTCCTCTTTGTGGATTCTCCTCTAAGCCTGGAAACCAATCTCGTTCTTTTCGCTGGCTGGGAAGATCTACTTTCAAAGCTTGGGTGCTTATCTTGGAGCCAACTCTGGGGAAGAATAAAGTCCGTTCGAACGAGTATACTTAACCTTAAGAAGTCCTTCTTCGGGCTTCCTATCCCTTTCTCTTGTCCCCGGAACCGGGTCTATCTTCTCTTAAAAAAGATTCCGCTCATTCGCTCGCTTGGAAGTTCCTTACTCAAAAACATTAATGGGCAACCCTAATCCCCTTTCCTAACTTTTTCGTCGACTTAAGCCTTACCTCCCAATGACAAAATAGATATCTTATCTTGTCCTGCAGAGATTGGCTCTATATTCACTCTATATTCATTATATAAGTGAGTAGATCAAAGCCCTTTTTCATGCACGAGCATCCATCGCAGACTGGCCCCTTAAACAAAGAAGGAAGAAAGTCTTGTACGCATTTGATAATTGTCTTTTTCCTTTTGCTAACTCATTTGTAAGCGCTAGTTTCAGGTTCCACCTAACCCATAATCAAATAGAATTCAATCGCTTGCCCTGGGCTGAGGGCTCTATCAAATAGATTCAAAGTGTGGATCAAGTCCCTTGAAGCTCTATTGGTTACCCACTTTTCGGTTTTTTCTAATCACAATGGTGTAAAGACTTCCTCCCCGAAGGCGGCTGGGCTTAAGCCAAGACTCTTTTTGTTCTGTTTTCTTCTCTTAGTCTGGTGAATTCATTTCTTCTTGGTACTCGTTGAAGAATCTAGTGCTTGCATCTGCTCAAAAGCTCTATCAACGGAATGAATTCATTCAATAAATAAAGAAAAAAGGGCGTCGATAGACAATAGACCAAGGAGCGAAAGCGAAAGCCATTCAGTTGATTGCAAAATCTATAGTTCGTGAGAAGGATTTGCTGCTTGAATTGATAGAGGAAGAGGAATAAGACAAGGTATAGCCTTATCTTTTTTTGTAATAGGAATGGAGTATCTTTCAAGGAAACTCAAGCAGTAAGCCAGAACAAATCCAAACTTCAGTTATCATCAAAATTGCAGAAAGAATGAGATTAATCATCTATTAATCATCTGCGGATGGTTTACTAATTTTCTGCTCTGGCGCTGAAGATTCCATTGCTGTGGTCAATCAATGCTGAAAAGAATTTGCAAATGTTTCTGGTCTTACTGCATATCCAAGAGAACAATCTGCTATGGAGATCTTTCTGATGCTGCAAAGTTAAATATTTCAAATAAAATTGGCTTCAATGAAGGAAAAATGCCAATGAAGTACCTGGGATTGCCAGTCCTTCAAAGCTCTCAGTTAGTGATTGTTTGCCTCTAATTGAGAGAATCAAAGCTAGAGTACAGAGATGGACTGGAAAATACCTCTATATGCTGGACAACTGGTTCAGAGTTCCCTCTTTAGCATGCAAGTTTACTGGAGTACTGTGTTCATACTTCCAGTGCAGGTTTTGATTTGAAGACAATTGAGAAGATCTGCAGAGGCTTATTATGGTCTGGTCCTGATATGGTTAAGAACAAAGGGAATGTTGCTTGGAAATTAGCTGCCCTTTAAAAGTTTAAAAGAAGGTGGTTTCGGGCTTAATTGGTGGAGTGGAATAAAGCTGCTATGTTGAAGCATATCTGGGTTCTGGCTGCAAAAAGTCCTTATATCTAGGATATACATACAATGCTTCTCAAGAATAGAAGCATTTTGTTGGTGTATTAAACCACCAAATAATGGTAGCTGGGTTTGTAGGAAACTTCTACAGGTGAGAGAGTAGGCTATAAGATAGATTATACATAATGTTGGCAATGGAACCAATACATCTCTCTGGTATGACTCTTGGCTGACTATAGGTTCTATAGTTTAAAGGTATGTATGGTGAGCAGATCATAGGGGAGTCTGGTGTTCCTAAAAAAGTTGCAGACAAACTTGATAATTCCAGATGGTCCCTCCCTGCAGCTGCAAATCAAGATCTGCAAAAAATTGGGGAGTGTATCAGAGCCATAAGGCCCTTGAACAGTGAGCAAGAAGACACAGTTATATGGATGCCTGATCACTAAGTTTTCCATAAAAAGAAAATAGCCTGGAGGTTAATCAGACACAAACAAGCTACTATGCCTTGGTGTAAACCGGAGATATTTTAAAGAAGGAATTCACCGGAACAGGCGCACAGAACAAAGACAATACGAAAAATCAGAATCGTAGCTTTTTCGCATCTCCTTCCTATTCCTAATAGATACTTAATCAATTGAAAACCTATCTTTCGACTCTTTCTCGGCTTGACTCACAATACGCAAAATCACTATTTCGCTTTCCTCAACAGCTGTTATTCATAGTAGACTTTCTTTCCCGGTGGAAAGCAAAGTCAAGGTCAAGGAGCTAGGCATTCGCGGACTAAGGACTTACTTAGTAAGAGCGATTGTCCGCCTTTTAGGTTGTTGTTCCTTTCCCAGGACTTCAACTTGTTACCGTCCTAACGGTTAGGGAACAGCACCCTTGTATACCCCATCGAATAGTTAGCGCTGGCTAATGAATCTACGAACCTTCTGAAACAGATGTGGCATTAGCGGTTCCGATGCCATAAGTAGAAGTATACTGTCGTGCAAAGGCCTCTTCAACTGTCTCAAATAGAGAACCGCGAGAAGAAGATGCCAATGAATCCCCTGCTTGGATCTTTGAAGGAATCACCGGCTTTACTAAGCTTGGCACAGATGTTCGAGAATAAGCTGTGGGACTTGCGGAATAGTTAATTCGATCAACAATAGAGTAGTTGGGATCAAGTATTCAAAAGTTTTCTTTTTTGACTGGATCAATTTCTTACAGTAAGAAAAATGAAGGTCCAGCGTAGGGTTTGTTAAGTAATCGGGTTTGGCTCAAGTTCGTATGAACTAGTCTTTCTAGGTGAAGATGGAAAGAAGTCAAGTCAGACTTGGTATTATCCATTCCAATGTTCTAGAATTCTTTGAAGACCTTAAGCCTTTCATGATACTAGGGATCCTATACTAGCCCTTTTTCGTTATTCTATCTATCTCTAGGATAGACTTATTGACTTCGTGACTTGACTGAAGTTATCACGTGGACTCTATATCTTTTCTATCCCTTTTGTTTTTGTGTTATAAGGTTTATTGGATGCCTTATTATGGTTATGGATACAGAAGTCCTTGAGAGTCTTGATTATTGAATCATAGAATGTTGTAAAAGATGAGGTTTGTATTACAGGTAGAGCATAAACTTCAATTTCAAAGGAAAGTATACAAAATGAAACTAGTTTACTATATACCTATTTTTGTAAAGGTCACAAAACGAAAAACCTTAGCATTCCATTCAAGTAGAAGAAGGTAGGGATTCTTGTAGCTCCTAATAGTGTGCTCGTATAACCTAATCGAATTTATCCTTTCCATTATCTAAAAGGCACTAAACCATGGAGATGATACAAGCAGTATAGGGAAGATAGACCTAATTTGGATTCTTTTTCTTCCACTGAGATGAGCAAAAGATGGAGTAGGTATCTAAGTCATTTGTTGACTTGCCTTCTTAGAGATTATCCCTTAGACTATTCCATTTCGTATATCGTGAAGTCTAGAAAGTTTGACAGCTGAACTTACAGGGCTTAACCAAATAAAGCCCAATGAATCTTTTTTATCTGATCTCTCTTATCACGAAGATCAATCTCATCGATTTCAAAGACTAACCAAATGGAATCATATCCCATATTTTTTACCAATATTAACAAGTCGTTGATTGAATAACTACTGTAATAAGCAAAACTCACAATGAAGAGAGGAGTAAACAAGCTGACTAAATCTACTTTCTTTGTTAATGTTGGAAGACCAACAGAGACTCCACCCTTTGGAGGTTTGATCCCTGTGAACTCTTCACCAACTAAATGGGGAACAATACCTAACCCGGGATCCTTAATTCCTAACCTGGAATGCTTGATACCAGGGGTTCCTAAGACAGAAAATGGATCCATTCCGAGCTTCTCATTCAAGATCTTTCGAATAGACAACAAAGATGGTAAGATTGGATCTGTGCTTACTGGTTCTAATATGCTGCTTTTACCAAAAGATGATTGAAAAGAAAGCTGAGAACGAGGCAAAGAGGGAGACCGGGAAGAACTGAGTATATTAGGCCCTTTGGATCTTGGTATTTTAGTAAGAATTGGTGGAGATTTTTCCAAGGAGGATTGATCAACAGGTATAGGATGTTGTGATAATGAAAGTTTTTGTACTAAAGGAACTAAGACTGACTTAAGATTTTGTGTAAACATAATTTGAGGTTTTGTATTGTATTCCTGCTTCTTTCTTGCGTACCGTAAGGCCACTTTAAATGGTACGGTACACTCGAAATTCGAATCCCTGGCCTTACCCTGGATCTTCCTCTTATGAATTAGTTATTAAGACCCTCCCTCTCATCAATGAGTTGGTTCCATTCCATAACTCATTTATAAGTTGACTCATCTATA